TGCAAGTTTTCCAATTTCTCGAAACACTTACCTTCTTAATAATCAGAATGTCTACATGGAAAGCAAATCTCTCTCTCCCAGTTTCTAATCACTTCATTTAGGTTCTCTTATACCATAGGAGAGACACAATACTATACTATAGAGGCTTGTAGCATAGTGGTTAGCATATTCACCTCACAAGTGAGAGTACCCAGGCTTGATTCCAGAGTGGGGTGAAACCTTAGACAAGTTTCCTTACCCCACACATTTCTTTTTACCTATCAATAAGTAGGAACCCGGTCCATTGGCGCATCGCGAGGGTAATAATATCTCAAAAAAAATCAACGACTGTTTGTGGGACACTGCTGTGAGCAATTGGCTGCCACGTTTCACCCACAAAATATGCAGTCAATTCACTTGACAATATATTCTGTGAAGCGCATTGAGACGTCTCAACGACGTGATAAAGAGCTATATCAAATGCAAGGAATGTATTATCATTACCATCCTTCCACTGAAAGGTTCAGCTTCTTGGTCTTCATCCAAACCAATAAGATCTAAATGAGTTGGTTTGCCCTCAGATATTTCTTTCAATATCTTGGCATCAACAGTTCCTAAGATTACCTGAGAAATTAGATATCAACCTTTGAGTTTCATATCCGATTGTAATGTGGAAGGAAAAATAAACCACTGGTATAGAAGTTGGCACTTGGTTCCTATGAGACATTGAATATAATCAAGTGGGTTACATACACTTAAGGATGATATGTCATTGGGATTCAATTGAACATGCATTGATAACACCCAAACAGAAGGAGAAATATAAAATTCAGATACACATTGCAATAAATTATCTAAAATCAGTTTATTCCATCTTGAATTGTGGATAAATATTCCATGCAGCAAATAATATTAATTTATTAATCTGGAGGTCTAGATGAAACTGCTTTTGTTTTTCAGGATTGAATTACATTAAGAAATACTGGATTTCATAATTTTGATTTCTGAAGAGGCAAATAGAACTTAGACCCTGTAATTCTCTGAGATAAGTGAAACTCAGAAAGAGATAGGAATATAGGCAATGTGTAAGAATGTTCCTACCAAGATGCCACAAAAGATTTGGACAATCTAATGCAAGTGTGGTGAAAGAAACAGAAGTTCAGAAAACCTATAAGATCAAATGAATCAATTTACTGAAAACTAAGGAAAGGACTAAGAAGTAACGATCTGAATAATAAAAGGAAAAACTTTACATTCCGCTCCACCTTTGGTCTATCATGGGATATTGTTCCATCGTCACACTATAAAATACCTACTCCCATGGAGAATGAGTGAATTTAAGAGAACTTAAGACCTGGCAAGTCCTACATATAGGTCAAGATGATAAACATCACTTAAGTGATGATCACGGTACAAATAAGTGAAGTGTTTTTAATGAAAATTGTTCACCTTTTACATGAAGTTTCCTAGAAGACAATAATGTGTCTGATAAGACAATATATGATAATAATAATAATAGTCCTAGTTTCTGCAAGTTAAACTGTCAATCAGAAATGGAGAAGGGTGTGTATTTTTTGTCAATTTGACCATACATTTAAATTAGGAGGAACTCCCTTGACAATATTATGATGGGCTGTTTTTAGAGCAAGAAGCTTTCAGTGCCAGAACTCTCAAAATCAAGTCTTCCATGGTCAGTAGTGTTCCTAAACTCTGTAAAATAGTGCAAAGACGAACAGTGGAAATGAATGCATAAATCTCTCCTGCCAAGGAATCTTCATCCACAAACAATTCTACAATCCAAGATCATGGAACTAAACTGAAACTGCCTGTGTTCTTTAAGATGCCCATCTAGACGGTCTAATTTCTCTTATTAACCAAATAGCCTTGGAATGGAAACTTCACCAGTAAATTTTGCCTCAGATGAGATCTTTGGTGACCTAATTTCATTTGACCAGTTTTGGACAGACAGATCTAAATCCTTTGATATAGCATTAAGGCAAAGACCAGGAAACAAACCCTGACTCTTGTCCTATCAGATCACAGTTGTCATCTTGCTTCACACCTACAAAACTTTGATGATGGCAACACAGATATTTTCTTTGAGATGGATACCCTTGGACCAAGAGGATGGTTACTTACTAACTCCAGCTAATCCAACCTTGCTAAGCCTTTCACATTGGGAGGACGTCCTAAGATGCTAAATAGTCAGGGATCAGGATCCAAGCGTGTGGGGCAGGTTTGGGATGAGGAAGTTCAGAGGTGGTGGGAGGGCGGCTGCAGGCATGGTCAAAAAGGAGCGTCTTGAGCTGTGCCTTGAAGGAGGCAAGAGAGGGAGTAAGGCGAAGGGATTGTGGGATGGAGTTCCAAAGAGTAGGTGCAGAGATACTGAAAACCCAGCTGCTGATAGTAGGGCAGGAGACCTGGAGCAGGGCGGAGCCTGCTGAGCAGAGAGAGCAGACAGTTTGACAGGGGGTCAGTAGGTTACAGATGAAGGAGGGGGCAAGGCCATGGAAGGCCTTGAAAGTGAGGACAAGGATTTTGAATTCTATCCTGAGGGATGGGGAGCCAGTGGAGCCGGGCAAGAGTGGGGTGATGGGGTCACAGAGCCTGGTGCGGTAGAGGACACGAGCTGCAGAGTTCTGGATGACCTGCAGCTTGTGGAGGGAAGAATTGGGAAGGCCGACAAGGAGGGAGTTTCCGTAGAGCCTTGAGGTGACAAATGCGTGTATGAGGATTTTGACGGCCTGAGGGGTGAAGCAGTGGCAAAGTTGGGCAATGTTGCGAACGTGGGGGGAGGCAGAACTGGTCATGGCACAGATACGGGGGAGAAAGAACAGTTGAGGGTCGTCCAAGATGCCCAAGTTCCTAACTGGCTTGATGAGGTGGAGTGTGCAACTGTGGATGCTGATGATGCCAGTGCCTGAGGTGCTGAGGCGAGCCAATCAGGAGAGCCTCGGTCTTGATTGTTTCTCAGTCCTCTCAGAATGCTTTTCCAGGAATGACCAACATGCTCTGTATGATTCTCTTAATTGCTCCAAAATTACTTCAGCCTGGTCTCCAAAGAGAATGAAATTCAATATGAGTAGCACCAGCAAACATACATCTTTGCAAAGCAAGTAGCAAACTAAACAAAATAATGCAGATATTAGGTAAATTATTTCTCCCCGCCCCCCCATCCCAAACTCAAGCCAAAAATAAAGCACTTTGTAATTGTTAGTGAAACCAACCCACATACACTGTTGCTCAAGTAAAGGTGTGTGGATCTCGAATAAATGATGAAGAATTTTTCTTAAGAGAGATGAAAGACTGTTCTAGAGAGGAACTTAATATTAAGATGTCCTCATCCCAGGTATTAGTAGGGAACACCAACAACAATGAATTCTTGGCCAAGTTATTCACCATCCTTACTTAGATATACATCACCATTCTTTCATCATCGCTAAGTCAAAATCCTGGAACTTCGTACCCCAAACTGTCTTGCAAGAACTATCACTAAAATGACTGGAGTGGTTTTAAGTGGTCAGAGATGCTGCCCTCTATATAAATTCAAGTTGTTATTGTTGGTTTAAAGGGAATGCGTCTGTCACCTTCTCAAGGATGGACAATAAACGCTGGCCTGGACAGTGTCACCCACAACATAAGGATTTAAAATAAAAGGTGATACTGTTGGGTAAACAAAATACCAGGAATCCCTTCTATTTCAGGTCTACATTTTGTCTACAAAATAAACAGTCAAAGCCACTTTATGGTATATCCTTTGAAACGCTTTGAGAATCTCGATGATGTGATAAGGGGCTAAATCAAATGCAAGAATTATTTATTATTACTACTGTGGATGTTTTAAAGATCATTGACCTCCAGTGACCATACACACACACATAGTCAAAATCCAGCTCATGCTCCAATGGATTCTGAAAGCCTGAAAATGAAATAAAGTGGTGCTGATTGTGCACCACCTAAGTTCAAAAGTTCAACATTACCAAAAATAAAACGTTGAGTAAGTCCACTAAAGCAATTCCTAGATCTAACGAAAACGAATCCTTAGGATCAAAATAAAAATCCCAAATTATTTCTATTGTGTGAGGCAAAAAACCACATTACCTGTTTGAATAAAAATGGGAAAATAGCAAGAATTAGGGTCTGAAAGGAAACCAAGCCAAGGGAAAATCATCTGTCAAGTACAAAAATTCTCAGGAGTATTTTCTCCTAAAAGGTGGAGAAAAATCTTATCTGTTCAACCTCTACGTATTCTACTAAAATTAAAAATTAACATGTATAAATTTCCTTAAAAAAAATTCTTGAAAACTGTGGCCTGTCTCTGCATCAATTATGAATTGAAAGGACAGGTTCTTAAAATAGTTCCCATTTTTTCTAAGTCATACGAAACAAACTCCAAAACATTTCAAGTATTTGAAATAACTTCCACAGATTCAGAAATTGATGACTACAAGTGCATCCAGTAGGGAAAAGGAAAGTACTGTACCTTAATTTTCACACTTGGCAAGTTGTTGTTGAAACCAAAAGAACCAGAGGGGAAACGAGAAGNTTTTTTTTAACCAGAGTTGTTGTGATCTGGAATCTACCACCTTAAAGCGTGGTGGAAGCAGATTTGATAGTTTTCAAAAGGGAATTGAATAGGTACTTGAAAAAAAGTCCTTGAATATATTCAAAACTGAGATTGATACATTTCTAAAAGTTAGAGGGATTAAGAAATATGGGGATAAAGCGGGCAGATGGAGTTCTAGGTTAGAAGATCAGCCATGATCTTATTGAATGGTCCGGCAGGCTCGAGGGGCCGAATGGCCTACTCCTGCTCCCAATTCCTAAAAGGAAAAAAAATTGCAGGGCTTTAGGGTAAGAGCAGGGGAGTGGGACTAGTTGTATAGTTTTTTCAAAGATCTCTTTCAAACAGGCACAATGGGCCAAATGGCCTCCTTCTGTTCTGTAAGATTCTATAACCAATACTTTTTTTTCAGAAGTGCAGTTACGGACTAATTAAATCAAAGCAACCAAATACTCTGCATTTTTCTTTAAACTGAAGCAAAAAACATAAGGTTTTTTATAACCAATGTGGTTCTATTAAAATCTGCAATCCTTCAACTACATAAGCGATAGACTGACAGCAGTACAGAGCTGTTTCACAGAATAACATGTATAAAAAAAGTCAGAAATTAATCAAAAATTCCAACTGTTCAGCAAATATACTGAATATAACACTCTCTTTACATATAATTAGCCAATAACATACTTTTCTCTTTTCTAAATTCTCCTTTTTAAAGGTACAGTTGCATTTTCATATAGGGCAAATTTCATCTGAATTGTTTCTACTGTATTACCTTACATACTTTAAGGATTTATATTGATATAATAGGGTACTAAAAAAGCAATAAACACTTGTAAAAATAATTACATTGTATTCTCCAGACAGCATATGAGCAACACATAAAAATATTAATAATGCTTAACAAATAGAACTTCAGCAAGTACTGCATTGCATTGTAACAGGGTATGGCATTATGTATATACACACTTAACTAATAGTTTTTACAAAAGTTTTTTTGTTCTTTTTTCACAAAATTTTAGTAATACAACAAACACTTAACAAAATATATTACTGTGAATAACTTTGAGGAATGTTACAGGTTAAAGGTTCCAATGTTGTTTACCTAGTTTTGCAAAGCAAAAAAAAATTTAAAAAAAATAAAAAGCAGTCTGAAGCTTGGAGTAGCTTCATCTTCAAAGAAAGCTCTGTAGACATCAAAAATGGTCAGAACTCAAGTTTACAAATACTACTCTGATTTATCACAATAAAGTTCTTTCAAAGTTTTGAGTTCCTCGATTAGCTGCTTGTTTTGGGTTTCCAGCACTGCAACGCGACTCTCCAGACACTTTACATATTCCTTTTTTCGACGTCGACATTCTTTGGCAGCCTCCCTGCAAACAGCAGAAGCAAAAAAGAAGGAACGAGAAATACTTGATATGCTATGCAACATCAGGGCTTCTGGAAATATTCCAGCATGATTTTGTCAACATGATTCTCTTTCTGCCCACACCCCCAATTTGCAGACTGAATTCATAGGTTAGGTTAAAATGCAAAGCAAATTGGAGTACATCATGCTCAAACGTGTCCCTGTCCCAATTCCACCTGGTAGTCCATGGAACTGCAACTTCTCATGCCTGGATCAGAGTTCAAAAGGTATGAAAGTGGCAGTTTGAAGCTGTTAATCTGTTTTATGGCAGTACAGGTCTTTTAGGGCCTTGAGCTCCTCGATAAGAGTCTTGTTTTGATTTTCAAGCACAGCCACTCGATTTTCAAGACACTTGACATATTCTTTCTTCTTTTTGCGACATTCACGAGCAGCCTCCCTGGAATTAACAGAAGGCACATCATAGCGACAGCCGAAATAGGACAGATAGACTAATCTGTACACTTTGTCTTTGCAATGCCATCCTCAGAGTGCCACTGGAGGATCCCCAGTCCTTTGAGCTACGACCTACATCAGCCAAATCAGAAGTTGTCAGTGCTTCCAGATCCCTCGCAAAACTTCTGCAATCTAAGGGATTATTTATAGCCAACTAGAATGAATGATAGATGTGTAGACAGTTGGTATATCCCCATTCCACAAATTCTGACAAGTAACACAACACAAGGGTGAAGTACTTCATTCACATTCTGGTTTCTGTCAGTTCAAGCCAAATATCCACAGCAGTTAAACTGGACCACTGTTCCAGCAAACACTATTCTTTTTCTTTTCATTGCACAATTGTTTAACAAAAAATGTACCATAAAATTTGAAATCAGCTCATCAACCAAGAGCAGTTTTTTTGATAAAGCCACTACAAATGCTCTGTTTCTACAGCTTCACGACATGTATAATTAATCAAATAGTGAAAATGTCCGCAGTTCAACCAATCAACTGTGCATTCCAACACAAAAGAAATTAATATCTCATCATTCAATATTCAATTTTTGATCCACATTTTCTCAAAGCCATGATTTGGTAGTGACATCCCGAAAACAGTAGGATATTAAAAAGAATTTCAAATATAAAGCATCCAGAAAATCTAAAATAATAATTGTGACCCTGACTTTTTGAAAATGATTTGCTAGTTTGATTTGACTGCTTTTATTTGGTTGATCATAGACATCTAGCATAAAAGAAACCTATCATAAAAGATGATGTTTTTAAAAGACTTTTGTGCTAACAAAAGAAATATTCCAGTGCCCTCCAGTCATAGTATAATGCAATGCATAGGAGTTAAGAAGTTTGAATAACATAACCACTTATGTAAATAAAGCATAAAAAAGTAATTAGTCAATGCCCAGCAGATTTATAACCATTACAGTACTACTATACTGTGGGCATTTCTATAAGACAGTTGGGGTTGCTTTCAAGTTGACAGCCACCAATATAATGTGAGCATTAACTCCATTTTTTAAAACAAATTCAAATTTACAAAACAAAATCCTTAATTTTAATTATTGTTTATAAAATGAAATAAATATATAATGTATATATTATTAATGAAGTAGCCTATCCCACGATGGGCAATGGGGAGAGGGATACGTGGACAGAAACGTATACTGATCTCAGGTCAATCTCCTTTGCTACTTATAAATTTTAACAATTCTTCATTTCAACTTGGTTTATCAAGTAAATCGGTGATGCAAAAAAATTTGACTTGGGGGCACTAATTTTATTGGAACATTTTCTGCCCATCCTCCAGTATGCACTTTTGCATATACTTTGTTAGTTAGTATAAGCCACTAACCACAATGTCACTTTGATTAACCAACAAGGAAGGTACAATACAAATGATATGCCTCTACCCCTCCTCACCCCCCGCCTGAAGTATCTATACATTTAAATATACCAGAACTGTAGAAGCTCACCAAATAAACATTAATTTCATTCTAATGTCAGCTTTCGCAAGAATTCAAACCCATTACCACAAAGAAGACCACAAACGGTCATGGTCATAACTGTTTGACCATAAACTAGCCATTTATTTGCCAAATCAAGCCTACTATTCATTGATAAAATTAAAATACCTGAACCAAGTCCAACCATTTTATTAAAAACATCAATTTCAAGTCGTTTAAATATTAACTTTCCAATTTAGAAATGACAAGACTTTCTCAGTTTTCTTTTGCACAGGTTTAGTTTATTTAAAATGCACTTTTTGTATGGGGAAGAATCAGTGAAGAGAGGTCAAGCAATAAATTTATCAGTCCTGAATGTAGGTGCATGCTGTTTCCTCTGTTTTTATTTCAGTAAAGGCAAGCTCAAGGTGAATTTTCCTGTACATATAGTGAATAGTAATGAATTGAGAAAATAGTTCAAGGTACCACTATCATATTAGATGCAATAGTCAGTAAGAAAATCATGCAAGAAAGAACAGGAGGAACACGCATTGGCAGGCAGTAATATAATCTACTGAGGCATGAGGAAAAAGCAAAACCAGGGACATACCAGGGAGAGGGCATGCTAATAACCCAGTTAGATTGCGTCTAACAGGCATATGGAATGACTGGGACAAGCAGATACAGTATAACAACGGCTGTGCAGGAGACCTATTTATGTAAGTTTACTTACAAACACAAGTCTACATCACTAAAATATAGCAGATCAAAACAATCCTGATGTTTACAATAAAACCTCACTTCTAACTAACAATATAATAAAAGGTGACAGAGAAAGAAGATTCCCAAGTAATGTTTTTATTTCAGGAAATTGGCCACATATCTGAATGTTTAACCAAAACATTAGCATTGAAATATTCTACAGAGAGAAACATTGGGATTTTTAGTACATTAACACGATGGTAACAGAAAAAACATAAGAAACATTGTTTGTGTGCACATAGATATACACACACAATTTTAGGCATCACAAGATGATAATTTTTTTTGTTGTAAATTTGGTATCGGCATTGTTCAATACTAACCACTAAGGATTTCTACAGACTGTAAACTAGACAACGCTATACAGGAGGAACAGTGGACAACCATTTCTACATACTCCAATAAGATTAAACGGTTAATTCGGAATAGGACTAACAGAAGAGCATTTTTAAAATCAACAAGTTAATAAGAAGGTATTTAAAAATACTTGGATTAATCTCAAAAAGAATGCTATATAGTACATAGGTTAAGTTTTCCCCTGTCCTGTGCCAATATCAGCTATACTGTTGGAATGATGCCAAGTTGAAGGCAGATGGCTCTCCAAGGCGGTAAGGAAAATCCGAGAAAAAGTCATGCATCCTCGTGGCTGGCTGAAGTGCAGAAATAGCTTGTCCAGAAGCACTTCACCCATCTGCTCTCCCAATCGCAGATTCTATGTAGTACAAGTACTGAGGTACTGAAAAGAAGATAATACCCTCCTTCCAAAAAACAGAAAATAGGAACTCTAGTGTGTTGCAAATGATATTCCAGACACCACAATCAAATATAATTGTAGCGATTGAGATGTTTTGTTTTAGGATTTTGTTTAACTGAAAAAAGTTATATATTAAAACTTGTATAAAACTTCCCAGAACCTTGAAAATGGGAGAAAAAGAAAGGGATACATGACATTTACTGGATAGATTTCCTTATTCTTTGAGTTCAGGCATTGGCCATAAGCCCAAAATTGCACTCTGTTTTAGCCTTAAGACAATTCACTTTTAAATTTAAGATTGAGTTGAGGAATGGTATAAAATTGTGGCGCGTCAATTTGAAAAATGGTTTTCCACAGGTCTTGCTAACAAAACAGTTTTTCAGAAAATTGAGCTTGAAAGAATCGAGAGGTTCAAAAGATAGATTAGCTTGTAAATAACTACATTTAATTTCCATTGGAAGAGTCAATGAAGTGCGGAGGAGATTCAACTTCCACACTCTTCCATAATCCAAGAGGCCAGTGAGGCAAAGTGGATAGCGTTATTTCCTACACTTAGGTAGGAAAAATGATAGGAGGCAATATAGACTTGGAAGCTCAATGTTAAGGGGGGGTGAACGTACAGAGAGATCTGGGTGTTCAAGTAAGCGGGGCAGGTAGATAAGGCAGTAAAAAGGCATTTGGTGTATTGAGCTTTATTAGTAGGGGCATAGAGTACAAGAGTAGGGAGGTTATGGTTAATCTATACAAAACACTAGTTAGGCCTCAGCTGGAGTACTGCATCCAGTTCTGGGCACCTTACTTCAGAAAGGACATTAAGGCACTGGAAAGGGTGCAGAAGAGATTCACGAGAATGAATCCAGGAATGGGGAACCTTAGCTATGAGGACAGGCTGGAGAAGTTAGGATTTTTCCCATTAGAGCAGAGAAGGTTACACAGGGACCTGATAGAGGTCTTCAAGATCATGAAAGGTTTCGACAGGCTAGACAGGGAAAAGCTGTTTCCGCTGGTAGGTGTGACTGTGACCCGTGGTCACAGTCTTAAGATATCTATCAAAAGAAGCAGAGGGGAGGTTAGAAGAAATGTTTTCACTCAGCGAGTTGTTCGAATTTGGAATGATCTGCCTGAAAGGGCAGTGAAGTCCGATTCGATAACAGTTTTTAAGAGAGAACTGGATAGATATCTGGGGAAGACAGGTTTGCAGGGTTATGGGGAGAAAGCTGGTGATTGGGGTCAGTGAAAGTAACTTGCTCTGTCAAACAGCTGGCACAGACTCGATGGGCCAAATGGCCTCCTTCTGTGCCGTAACATTCTATGAATCTATGAAAAATGTGAAACCACATGTGAAAAATGTGTAAGGGTTTGCCTTACAGAGCTAATTTGAGCTAGAACAAAGACAAGAAACCTAAAATAAGACACCACAGGCCTGAAATTGCAGCTTGTCTTACTCTTTAAGACCAGTTTATCGTTAAGCTTACGATTGCAAAAAAACTGTGAAAAAATATTCAATTCAGTTTTAATTTGAAAGCCAGTTTCCTGCAATTCTTAAAAAGCAATGGCTTCCAAATTAAGGCTGAATTTAAGTACCTTTGCAGAATTCTGCATCATCTTAAATTTAAAGACAAAATGGTCTTACGAGCTAAGAATTGGTGGAATTTCACCTATTGGGAATTTCACCTAACAGCTAAAACCTTGGGAGTAACACTATCAGACGAGTTTGTTAAACTGAATGGTACATACTCAGCTGTATGTGAAGGAAATACCAACAATAGTAATCCTAGATCTAGAAAACTAACTGGATTGGATTTAAAAATTTTAGTGCACCTTTTGTTTGCTCCAGCTAGAGGTAAGTAGGGTCTCCTTAGAGCTAAGATGACTCCAAGGTGATGCGCTTGACAAAGGAATGTTGGAATCGAGACAACCTTTTGTACCACACTCAATAGTCTGTTACCTAAGCCAGATGGGTCCACAGTACTTCAAGCCATTGCTAATGACAGAACAGGCAGCCTGGCTCATCTGAAAGACTTGGAGGAGCGATTCTTCACACTTGGCTCCTGTTAACTCCACAATCCCAAGCCTGAGCTGGATAAGGAGCAGGAGGCTCACTAGACAGTACGCTCAAAGTGAAAGGCACAAATGACTCTGCACCAAACTTAATTTTAACACTCAAAGTTTGAGTCCATTGATACAGCAGATATGGAGGTTTGTTGGAGATGACCAACCTTGGCTTGAATGTGAAGCTCTTCATCAACCATACAGGAAAATATATATTACTAGCAGCAGTGAAGGAAGCTTGAAGAAGACATTGTGCAATAACTGGTTTGATTGCAGCTCGAATAACAGTGACCAACAGTGAAACTACTGGCAAAGCAGAATCAACTGATTCCATCAGCAGTCTCCATCAAGATCCACAAATATAATTGCTGCCATTGGACTAATAATATGTACATAATATGTACATAATGTGATCCCAAGTCTACTTCATCAAAGCAGAAACAATCAACCTCAAAAAGATGACAAAAATCGACTGGAGATGAGATTTTTCCAAAGATATCCAAAAGTGTGCCTAGAAAAAAATATTTCTCAGCCATAAATAGTATTGACAAATATTTTAAGGGAACATCTAGGGTTTGGAGGAAAGGCCTGAGAAGGCCATTCTGTAACTGGTATTAGCAACCTGGAAAATGAACCTCTAGAACTTTCTGAGGGATGACTGAAGAGCTGTGTGTCAGCCTCTTGAGAATACTCTCTCAGTAATTTGGGGAGGCAAGATGGACCGATGGTACTCTCCTGCCTCAAATCGCAAATTTACTGCATATCAAACTGGAACTCAAGTATGCACCCTTAGCATATAAATGTTAGGTATTGAGAGGCTTCACTATGTTGATGACTCTCCTCGTAATTTTCTTTCCTCCATATTGGGAGGTACATGGCATTTGCACACTCCAGGTGCGATTAGTAATTCAGCTCAGGGGAGAACTCAACCTGAAATCCAGCATTTCCTGGTGACATAAACTGGTGCTCTGACACTGCACTACCATACACAATAATAATCACTATGTACAAGCACAGCATGACTGTTGGATCTAATTTTTTCCACGCTAATAATATTTTAATTGCTTTTATTTACTAGTTGAACCTCTAGCTGCAATTTAATAAAACTAAACTACTCATAGTTCTTTAGATCATATTGTGCTCTGTAATACTGATCACTATAAATTAGATTTAAAAAGAACTTTAAAAACAGAAGCTAAGCACTGCGTTTATTTGAGAAAACCAGAAAAGTCTCAATCCTTGATTCAAAATGGATTCACTAATGCATGAGTTTTTGGAATGCACTGCCTGAAAGGGTGGTGGAAGCCGATTCGTTAACAGCTTTTAAGAGAGAAGTAGATAATTATTTGGGGAGGACAAGTTTGCAGGGCTATGGGGAGAGATAGGGGGAGTGGAATTGATTTGAATGGCTCTTTTCAAAGAGCCGGCACAGACATGATGGGCCGAATGGCCTCCTTCTGTGCGGTATAATTCTATGACATGCTGAATAAAATCCATTGTGAAACAGCTATAAGGAAATTGATAAAAACTGGTTTAATTTGAATAAACGGCCATTATTTCTGCTACAGTACAGATTCGATAGGAAAATGTAAAAAGCATCTTCAAATGAAACAGCTGAGCACACCCAGTTTCAATAAAACCTTACCTGTTTTTCATTAGCCTGAGCTCCCGTTTCCGTGTCGCCTCTTCTGCTAACTGTTGTGGACTGTGCAGCGTCCCTGGTGATGTTGCCATCACTACTCCCTGAGGTAGGGTAGTAGTTGGGGTTCGTATTTGGTAAGTTGGCATATCTCCAGTGGCAGCTACAGAGCAAATGGAATATAAATTAGAAGTATGTCTATAACATCTGTGAAATATAATGTGTGCGCCTACTTAAAAATTCATTTCATCTCCCAAGTTTTCATTCTTCCATCCCCACCACAACACATGTACCTGCAATCTTTCCTATTACTATTAATTGTTTTATGAGGGTACTTCACCCTTAGATTCCCTTCAATATCCAATGTTTCCCCCTCCTCTAGGTTATGCATTGTTTAAGACAACATATGCTAAGGATTCTTAATATCGTGTTGAGTGTGATGTTATTAGTTGTGAGAGGATGGTATAACCAAAAAGGGGTGAAGGAACAATGGGATTTAGGGATTCAGATTCACAGGACTCTAAAAGTAGCAGTGGAGACTGACAAAGCCAGAAAGAATGTAAACAACAACAAATTATATTGGTAAAGAGCCTTTCACTTCGGGAGGACATCCCAAGGCACTGGACAGTCAGACACTGGACTGTTCAACTGGATTAACTATGGAGATGATTCAAGATGAATAATTTACATTTATATGGACTATTCATATCAGGAGGATGTCTCAATGCACTTCACACAGCTGACTGGGAGCCCAAGATGGGAGAAGGAAGCTCAGAATTGTTGATAGAAAAATTAGGGGAGAGATAGGGAGAAATTTATTCTCTCAGAGGGTTGTTGGAAAATTAAGCGCCAATTGAGGCTGGATCAATAGAATTGTTCAAAAGGGTTAAGTACCTGAGCAGTGAAACATTAAGAGATAAAGGGAAGAGAGCAGGAAAGTGGGATTAATTAAAAAATGACACGAGAAAAACAGAAAACAGTTGACAGACATGGCAGACAAATGACCACTTACTGTGCAGAAAAATTCTATATAAACAGTGAATACCTAACTATTTTGCATCAGTTATATGCTCATGCTGCAACAGCTGCAAATAATTGTTAATTCACGTAAAACTGTATTGCATCATCCATTCAGTTATGACACATTTTGTTCATTTTCCTTAAAGGCCTTAAAACCATTGTTATCCAGATTTCAAAGGTAAAAACCGGCTTACATATGGCATCTGGTTGTAAATATAGCAGCTGTTTAATGAAGCATCGTGATTAATAGGATAGGAAGCAGCTGGACAAATATTAGGAATGAGGTAAATAATAGCTGCATGAAAACACACACTCTTTGACGAGCAAGGACGCAACAATGACGCAATAATACCACAAACTATTACATTCTATGAATCTATGTGATCTTTCAGATGTAAGTGCACAGTTTTAATATTTGATGCCATCTAGCCATCAAATTATACAGTCTGATGAATAATTATGGGACAAAACAACCAATTAAATAGAGGCTTTACTTGTGTGGGGTGAATACAATTTCAAACAAATGTACTGCTAAAAGTGTGAATTTCATTATGGCTGGATAGACTGCATACTAAAAATTAATACTTCTGCCATAAAATCCCATTCAATCAGTTTTGCTGAATGAACATTATCTATATTTCCGGCACCATGCATTTCATTAGTCTCCACTTTTTGAAATTATCAATGTGCTTTAATATCTTTCATAAAAATCTATAATAATCTTCCATAATAATGCATAATCCCATTCAAGAGGTAATGTTTCCTGACCATTTAAAGCACAAATGCCATTCTTAAACTAAAGCCTCATGAATGATTTTCCCTCAATGATGATATTACGTAACAAATCCAACAATTTGCATTTACAATTTGTATAAAACTTTGGTTAGCCCACATTTGGAGCACTGCTTCCAACTCTGGTCACCACATTATAGGAAGGATATAGTTGTTATGGAGGGAATACAGCAGAGGTTTACTAGGATGATACCAGGGCTGGCAGTTTACTGCTATCAGGATAGAACCAGGATAGGCCTTTTCACTGGAGAAGATACATTTAAGATGGGACCTGGGATCTCCCAAACAAGCAGACAGGACTTCGATTTAACATCTCATCCGAAGGATGGCACCTCTGACAATGCAACACACCCCAAACACTGGATGGAGTGTGACCTTAGACAATGCGATTCCAATTCCCAGCTTGGTGCTTGAACCCACAATCTTTTGACTCAGAGGCATGAGTGAGCCAGGCTAACCACAAATGGGCTTGGTACCACTTCTTGGAGAACGGAGGGATACATGAGTATAAGATAGCGACCAGAGGATTCAACAGAGAATTTAGGAGGAATTTCTTCATGCAGAGGGAATGTGGAACTCACTGCCCAAAGCAACATTAAAACAGATATCAGATGTATTTAGAAGGAAATTACATATATACATGAGGGAGAATGGAACAGAAGGGTATAGGAGGGAGCAAGGAGTGGATGGAGACTCGACACTGCCACAGATGGTTGCGACGACAAATGGCCTGTTTTCACGCTGTACAGTCTATCTACATCAGTGGTGGCCATCCCATGGCCCGCAGGCAAGTCCCGTGTTCAATTGGTAGTATGTTTCCAGGTTTCTCTTGATTGAATATTTTTAAATTAGGGCAACATGCAACCACGATAATAATATAATAAAACGGTGTAATAATCCCTTCAAAAATACAATCAAATAAAATAAAAACTTGGTCACTCAAGCCACTGTTTGTGGGACACTACTGTGCGTTACAGTCAATTCACTCTACAGTATATTCTGTGAAGCTCTTTGAGATGTCTCGAAAACGTGATAATATATCAAATACAAATATCAAAAAATCAAATATAAAATCAAATATCAAATGCAAAGATTATTATTAAGAAGATTTATTTTGTTGGCCAACCAAAAAGGCTTTGAAAGGGCACTGTAAATTATAGTACATTCAAGAGCACATTATTCTATTTATTATGCAGTTGTCTCTAAATAAGACTGGTTTGGAAAAGGATGGGAAGCCAAGTGTGATATACAACTCTCTTGAAGGAAATCTGTATACTGTGTTATTTGCTGTAGATTCTTCAACAAAATAGAAGTCTTTTTATTTGCACCAAAAAAGTTTGTTATGAGAGCTGAGTAAAATCGCTGTTTAAACATATGCATAAAGAGGGAAATAAGTGTCCTATTATATAATGTAATTTCATGGCACACGTGCATTTATAAATATGTTAAAGGAATTGCAGCTTAGAAAACTAAAATAGCGATACTGAAAAAGTAAATTCAAATTTCAGCTGATGCGGGTGAAAAAAGTGACATTCATTTTAACACTGCATATATGAAAGTCAGAAATTGATCTTAAAATTCTGGACTTTCATATGTGCGTTGAAATCAAATTTGCTGTATCTAACACACAGGTTCATAATGATTAGTCCCTTGTGTAATACAGCATTTCACCAAATCATAAGTAGGGTCTACAGTATTTTAGATAAAGAAGCAGAACCATTATGCAACTTACTGAAACTTGTGCCCACAGGCTAAGAATGGTGGTAGTACTGTTCTGAGAATTTTTCTCTCCCACTAATGGGAGCAACAGTTTAGAGACTGTTGTGTTATATTGACTCCCTCGGGTATGTATTTAAACAAAAAACTCTTACAGTTCTAGAACCATCTACATTTAACAATCACAATAGTTTTTATTTTCAAACATCTTGCCATTCCAAACTGTTCTGGTTGAGTGGCACTGTTTCAGTCTGAACAGTACACCGTTAAACACGTTTGAACATTTCCAACTCATTTTCAACACATCAGATCAAGGAATATTTTTTCCTGGACAAATAAACAAATTGAAATTTATAGCACCAAACTTTAAAATATCAATGAGATTAAGTAACACAGGTGATAATTATTTTTTATGAACTCAGTTGGGTGAGCTCATCATGTCATAAATACAGTGTTTCAGGTTAGGCACGTAAGCCATTGGCATTTTTGATCAGACTCGGTGGTAAATTCTTTAAATATAATAATGATAATAATAATAACAATCCTTGATATAGCACCTTACCAAATCAACAATCCTTGATATAGCGCCTTGATATAGCAGCTCTTATCAAAGAGCTTCACAAGATATACTGTAAAGTGGTTTGACTGTATTTTGTGGGCGAAACCCGACAGCCAATTGTGCACAGCAGTATCCCACTAAACAGGCATGGAATGAGTGACCAATTTTATATGGGGGATTGTTGGCCCGGACAGTGGAAGAAACTCCCTCCTCTCTTCTAATAGTACCATGGGATCTTACAGTTGAACCGGCAGAAGCAGCCTCAGTTTGACATCCGATCCGAAGGACATCCAAAAACTGAATAAATCAGTCCTTGTATCATCTCTATTCAACTTACCAACTGTACAAACTTTCAAATTTTTGTATTATAGGAAATTAATTTGTGGTTCAACAGCAAAGTGATGTTGAGGATATGATGAACACATCAGGTGGATGGTATAACAACAATTCACACAGCTGACTGGGAGTCCAAGCTAGGGGTGGGAGTGGGGGAGCGGAGGAGGGTGGGAAAAAGGTGACTGAAAGCACAGTTGGGTCGGTCTGAAGGCAGATTTACAAGGTGGTGATGGAAGGGGCGAAGTGGAGAGACTAAGGTATGGAGATCAGGGGGTAGAAAGACAGGGTGGAAGACATGAAGTGGGAAGGTATTCACTTAGTGGTGGGCGCGATTGGGACCTTGGTTTAATGTCCAATGCAAAGCATAGCACTTCCGATAACGTGACAATTCCTCTGTTACTGCATTGGAGTTCCGTAGTGCACTGGCTAGTGCGCTCCCTTCACAAGTGATTCCTGGGTGAGGCGAAACCTTAAGAAGCGTTCCTTATTCCACATGCCACTGTTGGTCTAACAGTAAGTAGGAATCCGGATGTTAGTAGATTGAAGGATTGCTTTCTGGGGGTAATAATCCCTCAAAAAAAAATGGTCATTCAATCCACGACTATTTGTGGTACCTTGGTGTGCACAATTGGCTGCCTCGTTTCACCCACAAAATAAATCTGAAGTGCTTTGAGACATCTCGATGACTTGAAAAAGTATCAAATGCAAGGATTATTATTAGCATCACTAAATCAAGTACG